TTTGCTACTGTTATAAATCCTAATGTAAAATCTGATATGCAGTGTGCCACCTAGTGCTGAAATACTGGCAACACGTTGATTGTTCTCTGGCGTTGCCAGTATTTCAGCTTTAGGTGGCACCCTGGCTCCAGTTTTGCTATAAGTTAGCTTATGCAGGCGTTTCAGAATTAAATAGGGCTGAAAGTCCAAGATAATCATAGATTTACAGTTAGTATGTTGTTCACCATGAACTGGGAGATTCTCTACAGAGCATTTTCTGTCCCTGCCATCTTCTCTCTGAAGTCAGGGTAGACTGCCATGTCTCCTCCATGTCACTATCCTGAGATCAGGCACCGTGAGATTCGCTCAACTTGTGGATCAACTTGGATAAACTGGCTAGAGTCTCCTGTGCCACAGCACTGTATGAGATTTCATGTCACCAAAGTGAGAATGGCCAAGATCCAAACACCAGTGACAACAGTGGGTTCATCTAGTTCTCAACTTTTCTTTGAGTGGAGACGTTCAGTTATTTAAATTCATTGCTTGTTGTGGGCATGTTTAAATTAGAAGCTCATCCATTTCTTGTCATTCAGAGAGTCTATGCTTTCAAAGCAATCTCTGTTTATTCTGAAGGTCATTGGGTTTTGTTGTAACAACTCCTTTTCAGACCATTTCATTGAGTTGTGTTGTTTTTCTATTTCTGTTAGTTTGACTATAGGTTTTTATTATTGTTTTTATTTTGGAGATTATAACATAATTACAACATTTCCCCTTCCCTTCCTCCTTTCAAGCCTTCCCATATACCTGTCCTGGTTCTTTTTCAAATTTATTGCCTGTGCTTTCATTAATTGTTATTGCATACACCATACACACACACCACACCCCCCCCACACACACACATATTCTTAAATTCAACCTGTTCTCTTCATATAATGCTTCTTGCACATGTATTTTCAATTCTATCAACTGTTTCAAAGAACAGGCTCTTGACTGATATTTTAATTTCTCATTAAATTCTGCTTTATATTTTATTTCTTTTTACTGCATTTGGGTTTAACTTCCATTTTTTTTTTTTTTTTTTTTTTTTAGAATCTTGAGGCCCATTGTTAGATTATTTGAGATTTCCTCCTAGGATTGCCTTGTCTGTATCCCAGAGATTCTGTCAGAAAGTGCTACCATTTGCATTCATTCAAGGATGTTTTTTTCCTGAAACCCTTACTTCCTCAGTGACCCACTCTTCATTCAAAAATGTATTGTTCAGCCTGGCGGTGGTGGCGCACGCCTTTAATCCCAGCACTCGGGAGGCAGAGGCAGGCAGATCTCTGTGAGTTCGAGGCCAGCCTGGTCTAGAAGAGCTAGTTCCAGGACAGGAACCAAAAAGCTATGGAGAAACCCTGTCTCAAAAAAAAAAAAATGTATTGTTCAGTCTCCAAATATTTGTGTGTTTTCTGAGGCTTCTTTTGCTATTGATTTCTAGTTTTAATTTGCTGTGAAATAAGATACATTAATGACAACATTTTTGTGTTCCTGTAGCTGGTTTTTCAGCATGTAATATGCTTAACTTTGGAGAAAGGCTATGTGTGCTGTTGGGAAGAATGTTTTGTTTGTCTGTTGGTTTGATTATTCTTTAGATTCCTGTTAATCCAGTTGATCTATGGTATTGTTTACCTCTGAAATGCCTTGGTTGTTGTTTTTTTTTTAATTTGGAAGATGATCTAAAGATTAATAAAGATATTTAAGCCCCCATTATTATTTTGTCGGAACCTAAATGGCCTTTTATTCCCTTTAGGATTTATTTTATAGAATTGAGAGCCTCAAGATTTGGGGCATAAATATTTGCAGTGTTTAAATTTCCATCATTTTGATAAATGTTCTATTTATTTATCTGTAATGGCCATATTTGTTTCTTCTGATGAATTTTGATTTGAAATATACTTTATGAGTCATAAATGTTGCTATACCATCTTTATATTTATGTAGGTCTCTTGAAGACAATGGATAGTTAGAGCTTATTGTTTGCTTTATGTTGGTTAATCTGAATCTTTTCACTTTGCCTTTATGATTGTTGTTAGCAGGGACTTGCTACATCCTGTATTTTTGTTGGTGGTACTTCTGTCAGATTCTTTGCTTCACCTGTGCAGTATTAGGAGTTTGGTGGCTTTCTGTGTTGTTTCCTCCAGATTCTCTCCTAAACATATGTATCTATATTTGTGTCTCTTCATATGTATCTATATGCTTTACTTATCTGTTCTTGTGTTCCTTTTATGAAATATATACTTTCTTCCATTCTCTTGAATAAAATTCTTTCTTTTATTTTCTCTCATATTAAGAATTTCCTTCAATGCTGGCTATGCTTTCTTGAGTTGTCTTAACTTGTGATTGAATCAAAATACTCTTATTTCACTTTCAATTTTGAGATAAAGGTTCCAAGGGTAGCAATCTTGGTTGACAGTTACTTGCTTTCCTGACTTTTAGATTTGATGATAAAAGACCTGAAATTGTTCTGGAATTTCTGCCTTTATGTGTGAGCTGGGTTACAGCTCTCATTATTGTTTCTTCGTATCTTTGACATCTTGACTTGGGTATGCTAGGAAGCAGTTTTTCTTGTCTATTCAGGTTTCTACATGCCTCTTCCATTTAGATAAACATTTTTTTCTACTTTTGGCGAATTTGTACCTATAATCCCAATGAATAAGTTGCCTGAGCCCTGAGACTTCATCTTAGCTCCTTCTTCTACACTGGTGATTCTTAAGTTTGGCCTCATCACATGTATCTATATGCATTACTATCCTGACCTTCATTATGTCCTGAAATTCTTTATTCTGCATGGTCTTGTCTACAGATGATGCCTCCCTTTGTGGTTTTTATTCCCAAATTTTGTTTGGCTTTTTTAAGCACCTCAGTTTCCTTGTTAAAATTTCCCTCCATGTTTTTAAAAGTTTCCTCCAAGTTATTGATTATTTTATTTAGTAACTTTCTGTTTATGTCCTGAATTATTTTTTTAACTTTCTTGCCCCCAATTTGGCCTTCTTTCTTCATTCATCTGCTTAATGAGTTCTTGATATGGACCTGAAGTATTTTCTGGCAGTTCAATTATCTCATTTTCTTTGCTTTCTTTAGTTGAAAGGTTATCAGTTTGAGGGTGAGCGCTGCTTGGTGATTTTTGTGTTCTTTTGTTGTTTGGGCACATCTGTTGGAACTTTTATGTCCTGTAGTTTTTCCTATTCCCCCCTTTCCCTCTTGGCTCCAGTCCATCTTAATAGGCGAGGGATTATGAAACAGCTGAGACTTTGGAAAGGGGTTGGGGGAGATGTGGAGGGACTGGTCACATGTTGTGGCCCAGAGAGCAGAAAGCTAGGAGGAAGGCTACAATGTTCAAAGGTCTGCTCCTAACTACCTACTTCTACCATTTAGGCCCCAGTCTTCTAAGGTTCCACAGCCCATTTCCTACTTCCCAAACAGAACCACCAGCTAGGAAGCATACTCAAAACACAGGCCTGTGGCAAATGTGCATGATTCAAACCATAATAATCTATTCCAACAATGATGACACAAGACTTCAAAAATCATTGTATTTCCTATGGGTACTTCTGATTGTTGTATTCAAACTGATGGCTATCAGGGCTTGTGCCTCATGCCTCATGATAGGACCTAACTGATGGGAACCATTGATGAGGGCTAACCCAAGCACTGATCTGGTTCAGTGGAAAGTTTAAGAACATGTTGTGATGGACAGATAGCAAGGTGTTCAGAGATAGAGAATAGGCAAGAGCAGCTTGGAGTCTATTGAAATAGCTCAGATGAAAGGGGTCCTCATCCTGAGTTTAGGTGATATTGTTATATATGGGAAGGATTTAAATCCTGTTATTATTACTCTGAAGAGAAGATTCCTAAAGAGGTGAGTATTGGGACTCAGTAGGGATGAAAAGGCTGCTGAATGCTATCCAGCTGACTGAGCTTGAGTGCCCATGGACTCTTCAAGGGGGATGTCTCTGACATCCCCTCAAGTCTGCAGTAAAAATAGCTTTCTATAACTTGAGACACAATGCCAACACAATATGGCTAAACGGCTAAAGGCAAGTGACTGAGGTGTAAAAGGTATGGAAAGAGAGCTAAGGGCTCCAGGGAGAAGAGTACCTAGAGTTCTGATGTGGACGTTGGCAGTAAAGGCTACAGAAGTGTCAAGGAGGCAGGGTACAGCATGAAGGTTGCAGCAGTGGTGATTGATGACCAGTCTTTGTCTATTCTACTTGGCATTTTTCCTCTGTACTTACCACTAGTTCAGTCTTTACTTGCTTTGATAACACTCTCATTTTCTCTTCTGAGACTTATCCAGAGACTGCCTACTCGCCCTACTATGTGTAATGTGCTGTTGTTTTACTAAAGTCTTCTTGAGGCGTGCCATAAGACTCTCAGAAAGCAAGAAGACAATCTTTAGTTGAAAAGCCAGGAGGGAGAGTCTTGCAGTATTTACCAGACCCAGTGGATCCTCTAAACACACTAGGCATATTTCTGGTTCCTCTCTTCTCATGGGGAGTTAGACTGAGGTGAGAAGCATAGAGCTCTGCTCTGCTGTGGACTAAGAGCGGAGGCTGTTTGACTAGTGCAAGATGCTATTGAATTAGGATGGGTAAGCCACCCCCAAAAGCCAGAATAGAAGCCTCTATTTAGGACTGAGTTTGCTTTTATGCTTTTGCCGAGGCTGTTGAATATGATGAGAGACAGAAAAGAAAAGGCTAAAGTAAATACAGGATCACAGGGGTTTCAGGGTTTATTATATATTGTCATACATAGTCAAAGATTTAGTCACAATACTAGGAGGCAAATACTAAGGCAAAGTTCTACACTAATGACAGTCATCCCGCCCCACCCCCACACCCTGGAAGGGGCTCTGATAGCTAAGGTAAGGATTGAACTCCTTGGGGCTGGATGCTGGAAACATGTCCTGTTTTCCAGTCTGTCATAGGCATGAAGAAGGTCAGGGCCCGGCAGATCCATAGATGAGTGGGCCAGCCAGGGACTTGAGGATGTGTGGTGGACGGCTCTCTTCCCTTATGTGGGATGGTTGGAGAGTCTCTGGGACACTGGGGTGGTTGCTGTAGTTTTGGCATCACTGCACTTCCTGGTTCTGCCTCTGTTCCTCTGTAGTGAGCAAGCTGTCTCACTTCAATGGTTGGATTGGCTGAGTCTCTTGGACTTGGCCAGTGCTCGGTCCGACTTGCTCTATCTGCTTCTCCTGCTGTGTCAGGAGCTCCTGTGGTTGTTCATTCTTCCGTTCCTGTCGCTCATCTTCTTTTCCTAGGTCTTGATCCCGTCGCTGGTCCAAGAGTTCCTTCTCCTGTTCTAGCTGCTGTTTCCCTGAGGCTTTCTCTTGCTTAAGGGACTGACCTAAGCTTTGTGGTCCTTGATAACCTTCGTGCTCTGTATTTTGCTGCTGCTGCTTTCCAAGGTGCAGATCAGGCTCCTGCTGCTTCTCCTTCTGTTTCTGGTGCAGTTCAGGCTCCTGTGACTCCTGATGCTGCTGTTTTCCCAGGTGCAGTTCAGGCTGCTGTGTCTCTTGATGCTGCTTCTCTCCCAGGTGCGCGTCTGGTTCCTGGGACTCCCGATCTTGCTGCTTTCCCAGGTGCAGTTCTGGTTCACAGAGCTTCTGCTTCTGATGCTGTCTTAGATGCAGCTCCTGTGAGTGCTGTTGCTGTTGTTGATGCTCCAGCTGCAGGTCCTGCTCTTGTGGCTCCAGGTGCACCTGTTCGTGGTGCAGTTCCTGCTCCTGCGGTTCCTGCTGCTTCTCTCCTGGGATCAGTCCCTGCTCCTCAGAAGCTTTCTGCTGCTGACCCAGACACAGCTCTGGATCCTGTTGCTTCTCCTTCTGGTGCTGTCTCAGGCTCAGTTCCTGTGGTTTCAGGGTGTCTTGCTGCTGCTGCTGCTGCTGCTGCTGCTGCTGCTGCTGCTGCTGCTGCTGCTGCTGCTGCTGCTCTTGTCCCAGGCACAGCTCCTGTCCCTGTGGCTCTTGATGCTGATGCTGTCCCACATGCAGTTCTTGCTCTTGCTGGTGCTGCCCCAGCTGCAGTTCCTGTGGTTCCCGTGATGGCAGCTGCTCTTCTAGATGCAGTTCCTGCCCCTGTATCTCCTTCTGTGGCATTTTCACAGACAGCTGTTGCCCTTGTGGTCCTTCTTGCTGCTGCTGCTGCTGCTGCTGCTGCTGCTGCTGCTGCTGCTGCTGCTGCTGACATTCTTGCTCAGGCAGCCTCACCACAGGACTTGTGCCCTTCTCCTCTTGTTGAGGGGAGCCCTTCTCTTGGGGCTCAGAGAATACGTTCTGGCACTGTGCAGGCTGTGAAGTTGGCTGCTTTGTTTGTTCCTGCTGGGTATGAGCTGGAGGGCACACAGTCTTGAGGGATTCCTGAACCGCATCTGGGGCAGTCACTGGCAATGTGTGTTGCTGGGACATCTCGGAATCTTCTACAGCCCAAACTGAAAAACAGAAGGATCAGAGGTTGGACTGAAGGCAATGGGAACAGACGAACCACTAAATAGGCAGGATATACATAGTGGCCCTAGTTCTTGGCAACCTTGCTCTTGAATAGGGCCTTTTCCAACTTCCATAGCTTTGATTCCTGCAGGCAAAAGAAGGGTGGGAATGGTGAGCGCACAGAAAAGCTCTTCTATGAGCTCAACGGAGGGGTCTTTCTCCAAAGAGGTTCTGCAAGAGTGGAGCGGTTATTAATTAACTTGCTTTTGTCTAGTCTTTCCTTGGGTCCTGGGAAGATGATTTCTGTATTTCATCACAGTGCAAAGGAAACCTTTGAAAAAGAAAAACCTCATGGAGGACCCTGGAAAGCTGAGCACCTGTGCTGTCTCAGAAGACCCTGGGAAGGGAGCTGGGGGGCCATTGCAGCAGCCCCAGGCTGGAGCCATCGAGCTCATCCCCAGTCTGGGTCCCACAGAAACACTGGAGTTCTGGGCAACTCAGTCTCTCTGGGTTTCAGATTTTTTTCTCTGAAAAATTGGCACGTTGTCCTGCTCAACCTGAGAGCTTCTTTTCTCCTTGATCTTCTGAAAGTATTTGTAGCCCAGGGCCAGAGGAGTGAGGACTGCTAGAGTGTTGGGGGAAACTGGAGCTTGTTACAACAAAGTCTTGTGTTTGTCTAATAGGATTCCAGGCCCCTGTTCTGCCTGGGTTTCTCCACACAGAAAGTACTATAGCTTGTTTCCTTCTGCACACTAATCTGCCCCTTGGAGAATAAAAAGCCCGACGGAATCTACCCCACAGCAATATCCACCCCCAGCTGGAGGAGACACCCCTAGCCATGTTCTGGCCTGTTGAAGCCTGCAGCCACAACTAATGTCCCAGCAGTTAACACTCACCAGACTCACAGAGGGGAGAGGCAGAGGCTTCCAGTGGAGTTCTGAGCTGAGCAGGGACGGGGCCCTTTATATTCCCGCCTCGCCTAGTTCTCAGGGTAGAGGAGGTGGACTGGTTTCACTGCTCCAGTTGGTTAACGCCAGCTCCTCTCTGACTCACCAGATATCTTAGGCAGCAACCCTCACCCCAGGGCTCTTTTTCCAGCTTCTGTCTGACAGAGGGGGTGGGAGGGCTCACCCACTTCTGGTTGAGATCATCTGACCTGGGCACAGGAGAGGAGCAGGGGGTGAGAAAAGTATCCTACTTTGTAACCTCAAACGTACCTTTCAATCTCAATGGGTTTGACCTAATTTTTAGATTGGGGGACTCATTTTCAAGGGCATGGAATGGTAGCCTTTGTGTTTGGGGATCTATGGTCTGTCAGTGAGGAATCACTTTCAAAGGGGCATGTGGCAGTATTCTCCTTGGTTAGGAGCCCATGAGTATTCAGCACATATCATAATTCCCTCTGCAAGGACATAGGCCATGCCTTGCTGAGGGTCAAATAGAGGGAAGTAGGTGGCTTACATTGCTCCTCCCTCTGTATGCCAGGGACTTCCCAGCCCCCACATCACACCCGAAGCTGTATTTATAGGAGTTCCCAAGGATGCCATATTCCTAAAAGCTCCTGGCTTGCTCCTTGTAAGGAGAAAGGAATTTGTAGAAACCAGATATGGTGTGTTGATTGCATTTCATGATGATAATCAATGTGTTCTATAACAGTTTTTGAAAATGCACACCATACAAGCTCACAATCAAATCACCCACTGTCATCTCAGAATATTTTCTTTTTTTGGACAGGGAAATCTAGACAATTTTCTCTACGAAGCTGTCCTGGAACTCACTAGACCAGACTAACCTTGAACTCAGAGATCCACCTTTCTCTGACTCCTGGGTGCTGGGATTAAAAGCACGTGCCATCATACCTGGCTTCACAACATTTTCTAAAGATAGATTAGAAAACATTTAGAGTGGGTATTTTAGCATGCTCTGCCCTAGTCCTCATGGTGGCCCAACCCATATCTGATAAGATTCAGATTCACTGCTATAATCAAAAGGCCCTGGCTTATCTGACCAGTCTTTCTCTGGGACCTTGACACAAGCTACCCTCTCTTTGACAGGTCTTCTACAGTCTCACTCCAGATCCCCAGTTCCTGGGACACATCCAAAATGCTCTACCTCAGGACTGGCCACCTGCTCTTCCTCTGCCAAGAGGCTCCTTTCCTGGGCTTGGACATACATTCAGGCTTTGGTGGAAATGTTGGGGTCTCTAAGGTCCTCTGCTGACTACCCTAGCTACTGGATTAGCTTCTGCCTTAATCAACACAATAAAAAATTTAGCGACTTTATTTGCTCTTATTCAGTTTTTATTCTTATATTTTTCCCGCTGAAAAACAAGCTATATAAGAACAGAAGCACAGCTGGTGTGCTTTCCACTGCCCCAAGAACCTAACAAAGTCACCGCATACACTAAGAGATTATCAATAATAAATGAAGGAATGAATGGCACAAAACCCACACCTAGACATAAGTACTTTCTAATATTTTAGTGTTAAGGCATCTCTATATGTGTGCCCGAAAAATAAGCTGAATTGCGGCTTCTCCTGGCTAACAGCTTATTTTATGGAGTTTATTCATTAACATTCTCTTATTATGACTTAATAAAAGAAGATATAGTAAAATAACGTAAAGATAAAACTATATTTCAGTTTAATTTTGAGAAGTATCCCACTTCCCCACAGTTGCCCTGATGAGCATCTAATCTTAGTCTTAAACAGATAGGTTTACAATGCTGAATTCCCCATGTTCCTGGGGCTCAGGCTTTAAACAGACAGAGGACTTACAAGATCAGTCTGTCTCTAGAACACGTTTGCCCAGGCCTCCTCTATTCCTGGAGCCATGCACGATCTCACACTGCTCCCCTGTACAGCCTGAACAGTGCTGTTTTCTACAGCAGAGAAAGCACCCCCACTGTAATGATTGTTCTGTCTCTTTAAGACACAAGCCACACCCACTCCCTCCCCCATCCGCTTAGGCAAGCTGATCTTCAGCTTCTGGTCTGAGCTCACTCTCTTTTTTTCCAGTCTTCCTCTTGGAGAGGCAGCTTCTGTCTGTCTCCCCTTTTCTCTCCTTCCCCACCCTACAAGAACTAACCAAGCCCCCTCATGCCCCGCCTCTGACCTCACTTGGGAGGAATCTGTTTCTCCTCAGTCCATGACGGTGCCAGAGCAGCAAACTGTTCGGGAAGTCACACCGGTCTTATGGGTTCCCAGAGGCTCTGTATCTGCCAGATCTGCCTCCCACCCTCTGATTCAGAGCACAGTAACTCTGAAAAGACAGTATGTATGCATGAGTGTTTGACCACTGGGCAAGGCTAGGGTGTGAGAAGGAGGGCAGAGGACAGAACCTAGAAGCATGTGTGTGATTGGGCGAGGGGCTGAGGGTGTCCCAGACTTCTAAAGCTCAGAGACCGCATATTCTGCCCTCTAATTGCCCCACTTAGGAACTAGGAATGCATGTGTATAACACATATCCTTTTAGCGCACTGTCTGACGCCCTCATGTGAGCTTCCTCTGACCCACGGAGAGGCTTTGACCCAGATCTGCCTCAGCCTTTTTAAAGCCTGACCATTTCTCGAGGCAGAAAATATCTGCTTTATCTCTCCTCCAGGGCAGCCTAGATTTTGTTGTTGTTGTTTAAGTCATTTTTATTAAGAATTTTTTAAACACAGTCTTCTCATTTTGCACAGCTATTCCTGTCCCCACTCCCTCTGCTCTTCCCACCCCACGCTTACCCTCCACCCCCCCCCCCATTCACTCCTCAGAAAAGGTAAGGTTTCAGGACAGCCTGCTTTAATTGTGTATTTGTGGGGGAGGGGGTAGCAGTGGAGTCAAAAGGATCAATCATAGAAATCCATTGCCTTGGAGGACTACAGAGATGTTGAGGATAGCTCTGCAAGAGCCGCTAGTCCTAGGAAGATGGTAGCAGACGGTCCTGGGAAGATAGTTTGGGCCAGAAGATCTCATGTTCCTATTTTGCATGGGCCTGCAGCATGTGTCCATTGTTGGCTAGTGTAGAGAATCTCTGGATGCTGGCCTCCTTTCCTTTAGCCCTCAGGGTACTGTTTCCTACATCGTTCCTCCTTCTGAAACCTGACTTCCCTGCCTTCTTACATGTATGGAGTCTTCTTATCCACCTCTGCTCCCTGCTGAATCTGACCCTGTGTTCATTTGTGCTTTCTCTTCCTCAGCAGAGAATGAGTCTGGGGGAGAGATGAGACCAAAAATTGACCCAAGGATGATTTTTTTTTCCTTCTAGATTTTTCGGAGCACCTGCATGAACTGTCTTGCTTTTCTCTGTATCACTTCATCTGGCTGCCCCAAACTGGCCTGGTGAATTGCTCATTTCACTTTTGGCCTATAGTGCTGGTCTTTCCTTTTGAATCAGTTTGAATCCAGATGCCATGGAAGGACATTCCCGGCGCTGCTCTTGATGGCAGCAAGAAGAGCAAAGGCATAGCTGGTGTTTTGGTAGTAGGAGAAAAGAGATTTGGTGGAGTGAGAGACTGCTAATTCAAGTAGAACGGAGATCCTCTGCCCTTTTCCTTCCAGCTAAAAGGAATGAGATGAAGACTTGATTAGAGAATGTGGATGAAGAGGATAAAAGAAGTTGGAGGGATACATATAACCAGGATATATGAAATTGTCAAAGAATAAGCTAATTTTTAAAAGCTTGCCTTTGAACAGTTCGGAGTGCTGCAGCATCTCCTCTGTTAGGGTTCGTCTCCTCCTGCACACGGGGACTGAAGTCTGAAAAGCAGGTTAAGAGCTGCCCAAGGTCAACAGTGAGTCTCTGAGACAGTTGGAAGCCAGACGCCCTGGCTGTGGTCTGAGGCATCTCTTCCCCAGCAGGCTCCTTGACAAGGTTGAGTAGCGTCACAAGTTTCGCTACATTACTTCAGAGACATCCTCCAAGTCCCATACGCCAATCATTTATCAACAGCATGATAGTTTCTGGATTTTTCTGGACCAAGCACTAGTTTGTTT